CTTGAAAACTTGAAAACTTGAAAACTTGAAAACTTGAAAACTTGAAAACTTGAAAACTTGAAAACTTGAAAACTTGAAAACTTGAAAACTTGAAAACTTGAAAACTTGAAAACTTGAAAACTTTAAAACTTTAAAACTTTAAAACTTGAAAACGTGCAAATGAGAAAACTTGAGAATTTGATTTAAGGATACAGGAATTTGGGAAGTTATGTTCGTCTAAACATTCTCTCTTATTTTTATTTATATGTGCTACTAAAATTCTATGAAAACTGTATCACCCTGTTTGTGACATCGAGCAGCAAATCTTTTTTATATTCTTGTATTTTTTATTAAGGTTTTCGAAACTCTATGTTCATGTAACATTCTCTATTTTCACCAATAGACTATATCAATAAAATTTAGCAGCGAACAACTAGGACACCCTGCATATTATCGTATTTTGTACATCTTCAATAACATACGAGATATCAGGTTAACAACCTAACCTACAAAGGCAATTTTTCAAAAAGAAAAAAGTATAACAAAAATTAACAGTAAAATTATTTCACATGAGACTACGTTTGAAAATTTCCACTTTAAATATTCGCTTAGAAGTCATACAAGTTTAAAGAATTTTGCAACAGTATCATTTTTTCCCACGTTTGTAAATGCTCGTAATGTTACGAATCGCTTTGCATTAATCATACAAACCTTACTTTCGTTGGTTGTCACAACGTATAGCAATCGAGAATATCTGGGCATGAATTTTGCACGTGTTTATTAAATATACATGTGGCGAATATTCTTACAAAAAATCCTTGTATGTAAAATTTTATTCTACCTTTTTTCCTACATTTTTATGCAGAGTTATTCTCTTTCCAGTTGTACCGCTGATATCCTGTATAAATTTCGTTAGTCGTTTACGCACAAAATATTTTTTTGTATGTGCTCGCGTGGTTTGCTGTTCCAACTATTTTGGAGAAATAAAATAAAACACATTTTTTGTGGATCATTTTTATAATCACACCAAAAAATATTCATGCAATATTACATAATTGTAGCATTTTAGTATCACGTTATAATCTTTATATAAAACGGCTTAGCCGTTTCTAGCCGGCAATCATGTGAGAAGATGGCAAGGTGCACCCCTACACATATTGTATCAAAATGTTCGTCTATGACCACAGGTGTGCAAGTTTGTGTTATTTTGTTGATATCCACTATCACTGATTAACAAGGTGATGGCATACTATGTTAAAAAAGAAACTTAAAATGTCTTAAAAATTATTGTTTTTTTTTACCATTATACCCTAATACTTTTTATTCAGAATATTTCAGAGAATCGATTTATCTAAGAAAAACTATATAGTTCCATTTAAAAAATTATGGGTCATTTTCATTCCTCCAAGAATACTGCAAATATAAAAAAGTGCACACACTATTATGTCGGCATTAAAGAACAGTAAAACTTTTTCCTCTTTCATTTTGTTAAGACACGTATTATTAACAAGAAAAACGTTTAATAGTAACGAGATACCACGTCTGTCTGTCGAAATTCCAGACATAAAATTTTTGGAGCCAATTCCAAATTATCAAACTAAGACACATGACAACCAACTTGAAATTGAGACAGGTTCGTTTAAAGGTACTCCTCACATTCAAACCATCAATGACAAAGAACAACAGTGGTTAGATAATTATTTGAAAGGCAATTCGATTTCCAATTTCGACAACTTTGTTATTTCTCGCATTGATAAACAATAAACTCACTTTACTCGCGTAGCGAGTGTACACTGCTAGTGTTATTATAAAATTATAATTGTAATTATAATATTTAATAACTGTGATATAATTTTTAAAGTATAACGAAATTACCATTACCTTTTCCTCAAAAATAATTTTCTATTAATTTTGTAGGTGATCAAAATTTTAACAAAACCCGAATATGAATTGCACGTGATCTCTTATTTTCAGTAATTCCTAAGCATTGATACGTTCCTAAATTGATAATTTGATAGAAATCATGCGTTAAGACTTGAAATAGTGATACGATTTAAATATCCTGAATAAAATAAATTCGTTTTTGCCACGAAAAGAGTAACCACTCAGCCTTGAGGAAAATACTGCAACAAATCCAAGCACGACAGAGATATTTCACAAAAATAAAATGAAGGAAAAAACAGTTGAAACGTTCTCTCGTGCTCGAAGAGAACTCGTTGAGATGCTTTAAAGCAATTCCAAGTTTAAAGCTGACTCGAGGCAAGGATTAATCGAATCGCTTTACGGACGGTTTAAAGTTATTTCGAATTCACGGTTGACTTTAAACCGTATGAAACATGCACAGCTACGTGAACGTCCACACAGTAATTGCGATCACTTACGATCTGTTACGGTTCGTAACACGACGATAAGTTTACGATCAATTATTACTGCGATGCTTTTATAAAAGCTATTTGACGTGGAGTGAACGATGATGACATTATCGGCAACACCAAACAATTGACACAGCATAATTGTGAAGGTAGACTGCTTACGAGTACCTAGTGGAAGTTTTCAAGTGTTCTGGTTTTATAATTTTTCTAATTCTTCTCATTTTTCTAGTATTCTAGTTTTCTAGTTTTCTAGTTTTCTAGTTTTCTAGTTTTCTAGTTTTCTAGTTTTCTAGTTTTCTAGTTTTCTAGTTTTCTAGTTTTCTAGTTTTCTAGTTTTCTAGTTTTCTAGTTTTCTAGTTTTCCAGTTTTCCAGTTTTCCAGTTTTCCAGTTTTCCAGTTTTACAGTTTTCTAGTCTTCTAGTCTTCTAGTCTTCTAATCTTCTAGTCTTCTAGTTTTCCAGCCTTCTAGTTTCTCAGTCTTTTAGTTTTCCAGTCTTCTAGTTTTCCAGTCTTCTAATTTCTCAGTCTTCTAGTTTTCCAGTCTTCTAGTCTTCCAGTCTTCTAATTTCTCAGTCTTCTAGTTTTCCAGTCTTCTAATTTCTCAGTCTTCTAGTTTTCCAGTCTTCTAATTTCTCAGTCTTCTAGTTTTTCAGTCTTCTAGTTTTCCAGTCTTCTAGTTTCTCAGTCTTTTAGTTTTCCAGTCTTCTAATTTCTCAGTCTTCTAGTTTTCCAGTCTTCTAGTTTTCTAGTTTTCTAGTTTTCTAGTTTTCTAGTTTTCTAGATTTCTAGTTTTCAAGATTTCAAGATTTCAAGTTTTTAAGTTTTCAAGTTTTCAAATTTTCAAGTTTTCAAGTTTCCAAATCTATGAATACCTAAATGTCTCCATCCCCAAATTTCTAGTCCCTTGTATCCCTAAACTCCCAGATATTAATGCCCCTAAATTCCTGTATACCTCTAATTTCTACGCTTCCAAATTTCTCGATTCACATATTTTTAAAGAATCAAATTTCTAGATTTCTATATCTGTAAATCTTCAAATCTCAGAGGTCTCAACTCTGCAAATTCCTGTATCGTTAAATCTTTAGATTTCTATATTCGTAGATTCCCAAATTCTAAAGATTTGGAATCTAAAGATTTCAAAAAATATGTTCCTAGACATTTATATTCATAAATACATAGAATCCAAAGTACATAAATGTCCAAATCTCTAGATTGCCAAATGGCTGAATCTTCAATGTCCATCTCTATATCGCAAATATTCGAAATCCCAAGATCCTCCAATTCATAGACCACCAAACTCTTAGATTCGTATATCTCTCAGTCCCCAAATACCCATATCCCTAAATTTCTAAATCGTAAATTTCTGTTTCCCCAAAATGTTCAAATCCTCAAAATTTCCCTAAAATAAACGAACATACGTCAAATTTCGGCTCGATTACCATAAATTTACTATTAATCACAGCTGTGATATTTTTATAAAAACTGCTTGACACGAAACGAACGATGTTGATGTTATCGAAAGTATCACGTAATTGACACGTTAGGGAAAATTCCATGTAATGAACACATCAAGAAAATATCTCTATTAACTGAAACATATTTGTAGCTTATGGCTGAATAATTTGAAAGCGGTTTGTACATTAAAATTAATTAGCAAATAATATAAAGGATTCAATATTTGGACAATTTGCGAACAGAAGAATAATTTGATGATTTTTTAAGTACATAATAAAACACTATTAATCACTATTTTTAGCTTAGGTAAATATAAATTTTTATGTTATAAATAATATAAGTTTTAGAGTTTATAGATTTTCAGTATGCAGAATGTAGGTAATAGCAGAAACATCTGAACTCCAATAGTATTCAAAGAAAATAATGAATTTAAAAATGTTACGTTACTCAAAGAACATTTTCGACATTTTAAATGAATATTTTACTTGTTAACTATTAAAATTATTGTATCTGTGATACATTAAGTATATTTGTAAATAAAAATAATTGTAACTATAAAAGAGTTCGCTTACGTAAATTATAGGAGATTAAATGTAGAATTCTGCGTAGGTAACATACTTATATTGAAACCGTTTAAAAAAAAACCAAAACATAAAATAATTCAATATAAACTAAAATGTAAGGTTATTGCGATTATACATGAAATCTCCATTATGATTAATAATCTGATTATCAAATTTTGATAATAATACAAAATATAACATTATAGCAATCAGAAATCTCATATCAATTTCAGATCAAAATCAGTTACATTCTAACGAAAATATTTCCATTACTTTAGCAAGATGAACAAAACTGATTTTATTCTTATACAAAATTAACTGCTTACGCAAGATTGCGAAAACAAATATAAAGTATTTTTTAAACGAAAGACTCAACCATCCATAATCCACTAACTGACGTGGCTTCGTTCTTTTATGAAAAATGAAAAGTTAGATAACAGGTAAATCGCTCATTAATGTATATCCAAGAAATCCGACGTCGAATTATTTATGAAAGATAATCTCCAACGCCGTCTGACGAAGAAAAATCAACGAAGCGACAAATTTTTCGAACAGTTTTAAAAGTAAAGCAGAGACCGATCTGCTGAAGTTTGAAGAAAGTTAGAGTGGCAAAGAGGGTTCCATTACTCACCGGTCGGCCAGAATCTATTGGCATTGGCTGCTTCTAAAAATCGATCGCCTTCCTTGAACAGGAAATGATCGTCTATCAGTTGTTGCTGCGTTTCTTTATCCATCGTGGCGAGAGAATAGTAAGTTCCTTTCAATTCGCCTTCTAACGAACTTAATATTCCTTTCACCTAAAAATAGGAAAGAATTTACAGTGTACAGAGCGTGAGAAGCCATTTTACCGCGTTAGTCGGGAACCATTTTGTCGCGCCACTGAAATGTCACGAGTCGTGGTGGACTCTTACAAGTTATTTCAGAATGAAGAATAAAACGAGAAAGATGATCGCACAGAGATGAAGAGAAATAACTCTGGAGAGATAAACAGAAACAAATTGAAAATATAGAATCATATTTTTTCATTTGAGAAAATAAAATTTAAAAATTTACAAATTTGAAATTTTTTAAGTAAAATACTGCTAATATTTCTTGCGAAAAATGGATACGTATTTGTATCAATACAGATTGAATCGCTTTCGTATTACAAGAAGTTGCTTTTTTATAAAGCTTAAAATATTTTATATTTTAAGATGCTTTTCTACTAATACTTGTTCTACTAATCATTAATTATTAATACCTTAACTACAAATAATTAATAATAATTAGTACGTGAAATAATATTTAAGGAATAAATTAACAATAAAAAATAATAAATACTTAAAATAATAATTAATACTTCAATACTCGAATTGCTAATTACGTAAGAACATATAATAGTGCCTTGTACGTTCATTTTCCCTTAATTCTATCAGCTAATATAATTAGAAAGCACAATGACCGATTCATGAAGTCACAAAGTAATTAGTTTTATGAAGCTATGAATGTACGCAAATAACTTTGAACGACATTGAATTTTATAATTTAGTACGTCTGGAATAAAATTGATTTTTGTTTGGCATTGGTAGACAACCAAGGAAATTTAATTTTATGTAATACCAACTAGCCGAGGAACACAGTTTGGACAGGTTTTTGTTAAAATTAAAAAACACTCTGCTTGGATTGAACGGTTTGTTATTCATAAAGCTGCACGCGTATTTGTGCGGGCGGAGTGTATTGGAATAAATATTGAACCGATGAAAGAATTTGATTTTCTGGTTATGAAAAAAAATACTGAATATTTCGTAATTGAAAACTGTTGAATCATTAAAAAATATAGTTCCTTGACAATTTAAATGTTCATTATTATAAGTAATAATGACTTTGTAATTTTGAAAAAATGGAAAAAATAAATGCACGGGAGTTCTTCAACTTATGCAATTTACTGAAGTAGCAAATTTTACGTACAATCATCTTTGCAAAATTATCACGAAGATGACGTAAAGGTAATAACAAACAAATAGAAACTTTCGACGCTCAATTAATTTGTAGTACTTTAATATTACCCTAAATATATATTTACTTTAACCCTACATATATCGTATCCCGCTCTAAATTTTCAATTACGGAATTTTTCAATAACTATTTTGAAGAACAATTTCAAAAATAAATCTTCCTACTGAGAAATTTATTGCTAATACTCTACCATAAAATTTACTGCACAGAATATTCATGTCACGTTAATAATTACGTATTTGTAAATAAAAGTTGAAAATTTTTAATAAAAAATACACGACATCCTAGAATAAAATTTTTAATAAAAAATACACGGCATCCTAGAATGAAATTTTCAATATCTGGCTTTGTTTTTGAGAAAATTGAATTTTACAATTTTTAAAATATTTATAAGAAAATCTGTGAATACCTAAAAAACTGTATTTTTAATCAATTTTCTGTGAATCTCATAGCTAAATATAAATTTCGCTAAAACATGTCATAAGTTTGGTGAAAATGTGAACATTTGTCGAAAATCCATGAAAAATATTAATTATTCATGATGTTCTACGTCATCTATCAATTTTTATTTATTTCTCTAGTTATTAATTTTTCCTCTCGTTTAGCTACCAATTTTTATTTCCCCCGTTTAGTTATGAATTTGCATTTGCCTCTCGTTTAACTACCCATTTTTATTTGGTTCTTTTAGTTATAAATTTTTAGTTTGTCCTCTTAAACATCAAAGTTTCATTTACCTCTTTTAATTACCGTATTTGCCTCTCTTCTAGTTATCTCTACCCTTAGTATTCAATAACACAGTGACACAGTACATATACTTCCAACAAGGCTTTCCACAAAACTTACTATCTTCCTTGGGAGCCTTCTGTTTCACTTTCCTCTCTACTTTGTGAAACCCAACTTACAGACCCTAAGTCAAAATTGTCCCCCTCCCTGTACCCGAAGAAATAACCCACACACGCGTCCTCAAACATCGCTACACAAAACGAGGATTTAAGGAAGCTCAAAGGCTGACACTTGAACAACCCCGAGCCTCGGACGTTAATCCACTGTGCTGTTCATATTAAAATCGAGCTTTCAGTCCTTCCATACCTTTTGCTCCAAGTCCTGATAGTGATTCAGCGTCATCGTGGGATTTAAAGGATATCCCTCAACCGACCTGGCACACCGAATCCTCGTCGAGATCACGAATTGTCCTTCAGGATCAAGATTACCCAGCTCCTCGGCCGTTCCCCACTCTAAATCAGGATGAACGTGTGTAGGCTTGAAATCGCCGTGGTATTCTTCGATCATGGGATCAAAAAGATCGGCGAAAACGTCGTACGCCAGCTGATCTGGTGCGTATAAGCCGACACCCGAGTCAAGATTCGTCAAACCCGATTGAATCACGTCCATCAAATTAGAGCCGGTGCTGGTCATGCGTGTTTTCAGCCGGTTGAAAATTTCTGGGGTTAAGTGTTTCTTCAGCAACGATTTGCTTTCGACGTTCGAGAACTCGGCGTACGCCTGCTCCAACACCTTCACTTTTTCGTCGTTTGGGTTCATGAACAGGGGTTGAGGTGCTTTCACCTTTTTCTCGCAAGCGCACAGTCTTTTGTCACACATTTTGCTTGATTGCTCGCTGCTCTTCTTCCTGCGTGAGCATCGAGAAGGAGATAAGAGTTAATCTTTTGTGCGTCGCGGTATTCGAGATATTTCGTTTAACGAATTGCGAAGAATTTGCTTAAACTATTGCGAAGTTTATTCTGTCGGTAGAAATAAGAGAAGAATTTAAAAGATGAAATACGAAAAGGATTCATAACTGGTGAAGTACTTAACTACGAAGGAAATGAAGGATAAACATGGGTTGAAAATCTGACAGCTTCAAAAAGTTGTGAACAACTTTGTATTTCGGTTGCAGCGAATAACTTTGTTGCTTTGGTAAATACTCAAAGCAACATAGTTAAAGCTTTCGTATGAAAGCAATGAATTATCTGTCTTCATATTCTGTACAGTGTATCATTAGAGGAAAATGTATTAACCAGTTAACTGTGATTGACGAGTATACTCGTCATGCGTATAAAGTAGTGACCATTGGCTATTTAAATTGTAATTTTTGAGAAAAACAAAACGTCATCTTAAATTTCAAGATGTTTAGAATATTTTGAGGCCATGCCAGAATAAAACAGACAAATAAAAAATATAAATAATTTGCGATGAACTCATGCGTCCCCGTATGCACCGGCTGAAACAGCTTACCAGTTCACACAACGAATTTATTTATGTGCGACAACAACGTTTTTTAGATGTTAGCGTGAAAGGAAAGAA